TAAATCTGAACAAATTATAGTATTTGAAACATTTTTGACTTATAAACTAAAATTTTAATTTTTTTGGAGTTTCCTCCTTTTCTATTGCAAAGACCTCATATTTCTTAATGAAGCTAAATATTATAAAGTCAAAGATGACTATAAAGAATACTATGGCGGGATCTAAAGATTCTTAACGCCATCATGGAACTATATAAATTATACTATAAATTAGCTAAGGATTATTTTATTACTGATAAACAAGTTGATGAAGAAACAGAAAACTTCCTATCATCACTTTAAAAATTTAATTCATAAGCACCCATTGGGAAGGCAATTCTATATCAAAGGGAATAACCATCAATTCTTCTCAAACAAAAGATCTTTTAAGACGTTTAAGAATATAATCATCATTATCAATTAGCCCAAAGGGGACTTCTTCCAGCCAGTATAAGATCAGCTGATTTTTTTGCACCATAGATTGACGGATATGATAAATATGTGGGACCAATTCAAATCACCAGCATGGCGTCTTTCACCTTCTAAATCACTAAGATATAGTAAATATCGAACAAGAATATCACCAGAAAGTTTTTCTTCATCAAAGCCTATAGGGCCATTCTGAGGATAAGAAGGCTTAGCTAAGACCTCTTCTTTCTCTATTGCATCAACAGGAGAAATACCAAGCTGGCATGTGATAAAATTATTAAAATATTTAACAACTATAGGCAAATTCTTTACCCAAACCCAGAATATCTTATTTAAGTGTAAAGTCAAAAGATTAGAAGCATCTTGAGAATGAAACAATTTTCTAGTTAAATCACCATTAAATTTTTTAGTAATACTCATAGTATTTTTAGTAAAGGCCTTCTGAATTTTCACGTCATGCTCTCTCATTAATTTCTTACAATCACCTCTAAACTCTGGTCCCCTATCTGTTAAAAATTTTTCTGACCAGACTAAAAGACATTTAAGGTTGTCATAGACTTTCTTAAGAGCTTGAGCAATAGTCTTTGAAGTTAAGATCTCCTGTCTATCCTTGACACTATATGCACCAATAAGAATAGATACTTTATATCTCGAAGCTACATCTACAATATTAAGACAAAAAAGATAAGTAATCTGACCTATCTTATTATAAGGCATGTAGAGAATATCCGCTTGATAGACTTCATTAGGAGTAGTAATAGAAGTAAAACTTGCTCGGGGGATATATCTAGGACGAGGCATATGAATTTGGTAAACAGCCTGTCTCTTAAGCCAGTCACGTATCTCATCAAGTGAAAAATTATATCCAGTTTTTTGAGAGACTTCATGTAATTTTTTTACAGTTATCTGATAGCCTGAAGGTTGATAATAAATTTTGCATAAAGCTGAAGACACATCTACATTTTAGGCCTTGCCAGAATCTATTGGAATAATAGGAATCAATGGGAGCTGAACAGGCATATATTGATTTATTAGATAGCAATTTAAAATTGCAAATAAAATTGACTAAAGAGGAAACTATTACCATAAAAAATAAGGAAAAGATTCAAAAGCTCACAAATGATCTAGAACGATGTGAGTTATATATTAAATATCTTGAAAAAAATCTTATCTCACGAGAGGATG